CTACCCTACTCGATTTTATTATAGAGACAAGACTGGCTTAAATACTATATTATTTAACTGGTTATTGGTATTAATGTTATCCGTTGAAAACTAGCCTTGGCAAAGGACTAAAAAGAAAGGTCCAGGGATGGTAACTTTGAAAATATTGATAATTTATTAATAAATTTTAATCATACAGATAATTGAATGTGTCATCTGCTCTGATATTTTTAATTACTTCTTCTAGGCCCTATAACATTTTTAATAGTATTTAGATATTTACACTGATAATAATAATAATAACCTAAAGTTTTCAAAATTTAAAAAAAATGGAGAAAAAAAGGAAAATTATACAAGGATAAAAGGATACAATAAGTGATAGTGATAATAATAATAATAATAATAATAATAATAATATTAGTAATAATAAAAATAATAATAATGATAATAATATTAATAACAAAATGTCATAATAACAATAGTTATAATAATAAAATTAATAAAGATAATAATAATGATAATATTAATATAAGTAATATGAATAACAATAATAACAATAACAGAACAATAATAATAGTATATATAAAAGTATATACTAAAAATAAATAATAATATAAGACTCAATACACTTTGTGAATGTATTACAATTCCCTATTTTAATTTATTCTTATTCATATTTAGTTACAGTAGGGAGGAAAGACAGCTACATGTATAAACTTAAATTTTATGAATGTAAATACAGTCATAGGCCTATATAATAAAAATCAACAAATATGTTGTTGTTAACATTAATTTCGTATAGGGCCTATATTAATGCTTGTGGTACACCACGTATATAGTTCTTAACAGAACTGTTGTTTGTTGAGAATGCTTCTTTAGGATGAAGACGATTGAAGCAACTCAATATAAACGTCGAGGCATTCTCAACAAACAACAGTTCTTTTCAGAACTATCTAAAACGTGGGGTACCGCAAGCATTAATGTATTATTACTTTCCCATGCAAACCTTCAAACAATATTAATTTCGTCCTTTTCAATCCTTTTGATTAGAAAAGAACTCAATTAACTGAAAACCTCACATATTACCTGGGTTACCAAGACAATTTTTAGACCTACAGGCCAATAACGTTACGTAGGCCTACATGGATCAAGTCAAAAGAACAATTTCCTGAGGGCTATTTCAGTTTATAATTTGAGGTGGATTGACTTTAGTGACGCTCTTCATATCATATTCCCCAATCTTCTACATTCCAGGTACTGGTCAATCCCAACACACACTGTCTGGTCAAACAATAATATCTCGCATCTCGTTTTATGCACGGTTTTAAAAAAATATAATTAATCAATATCAATGCCAAATATTTCATAGGCCCTACTGCTTGGCCAACACTCATACTTCATTAAACATTAGCATTCCCTGGCTTGGCTCAAAACTTAACATTTACAGTAATTACCAAATTAAGCTTTAAAATGTACTTACTCGTAAACGTACAATCGCTGAGCAATGCTCCACTGTCTGTCCTCTCGTGTCGTCATTTTCGTAGTAAATATAATACACTTAAGAAAATGTACTTTTCTTGAGTCAGTGCATTGTTATAGTAAAGTCAAACATCTTGCTTACCGTTCACAGTATTGCTAAATGTGGATGTAAACAACATAACAATACTGCACAGGTTGTATCTAAAAATAGAAACAAATCTATACTAGTTTTTGGTCGGGAATTTCCAATTTTGTCTCATCACAAGAATTAATTTGGATGACACATTTATTACATAATATATGTTTTAATTCGTATCATTAGTGTTTGTTGCTGCAATACAATAAAGTTCTAGGTTGGGAATTTCCAATTTTATCTCATCACAAGAAGAATTATTTTGGATGACATGTTAATTTTACAATAGGCCTATATATATGGACGTCTTATTAAAATTGTCATCCATGTTTGTAAAGTGGTGTATCATTCCAAGTTTGTAATATGTTCAAATATATTTTCTTGTTAATATTGGCTCTTAATTTTATTCCTATACGGTACAATAAATGTAAGATAAATTTAAATTTACATCTTTACATTCTCGAGACCTAGAGTCATGGTTTACACTTTTGCAGATTCAAGAGTCAATACATTATGGATGAGTACAATCTGTCTCTTATACACATCTAGATGTGTATAAGAGACAGTATATATATAGCACTAGAGCTCCTAGTAAGTGTACCAATCGTATACCAAGAGCATGTTACCAGCACAATATGTAGGCATCGACTTAAGCGACAAAGCCTGAGCATGCATGCTTAATTTGCTAGTTGTTCTATGCAGGCCTAAGCACTTGAAAACATTAATGTTCGAACTGTTGTTTGAGTACCCACCATATCAAAATTGACTAAGATCTCCTGTCGATGATTACGAATCCTTGACACCAGACTTTAATTTCTTAGTCTTTGAATATTAGATCTTCGTAACAACATCACAATATCATGACAATGGTTTTTGTGTTTTCTTACACAAATTTATTTATAAAATTATCCATATCATTGTGCATTGTGCTGTCGTTTCGTTTTCAGGAAACGCTAGTTGGGGTTTTCCCATTCCTAATCTATAATGCGCAAGACTGTTAATATATATTATGGATTGTACCATTTGTAAATGGGTATGTCAGGAAAAAATGGTTCGGGGCCAAAATCGGTCCGCTGGACCGATTGTGGCTGTAAAATTACCTGCCAAATGTAGGGCCTAATCCACCGTAAACCAAAATCGGTCCGGCATCTATTTAGTAGTTATAACTTGTATTCTATAACGTTGTTTATTTCTTTTTAATCAAATGATAGATGATATCTTATCTCTCATTATACTGTATAATAGACCCAGAGGTGACGGATCTAGGGGGTGCTGTGTTATGGAGAGTAATGTGTGACCTGAAATGGTCTGCAGTCAGTTGGTTGTTACCAGGCGCCAGTGATGTTGGAGTATATAGTACAGCAATATGAAACTATAGGCCTAACGAATGAATAAAGTTCGGAGTTTGTCGGGTATAGTGAAATGATTATTTCACATTTTAAGTGCTCCCTAAATTCATAAGTGTAAGCTAAATTACGGTGATTAATTTAATTTAATTAGCGAAGATATGGAGACAATTATTTCGAATCCCTCTTTCCAAGAGGGGATGCAAATGCTTTGTGAAAATGAGTACACCGCGGTACTCATTTTTACAAAGAAATACACACAACTGGTTAGCTAACAATTATGTCAATGTTACATGAACACCTGGGAAGGAAGGTGCAATCACGTTGTTACCTAGCAAACGTCTGTACTGTATGGGGGAGGGGTTGCTGATGTACTGTGTAGCGGGGACGATGAGGCATAAGACTAGACCTAGGCCTAACTAAGACAGTGGAATTATATGTGATAGAAAGTACACTTTCGGAAGAAATAAATTAAAATAAGAAAAAAAAATAATTAAGAATAATTCATTTGCAGAGGTACCTTATTTAAGTATTATACAATGCTAACAATGCGGCTCTTGTAGCCCTGGCTTGAGCAAGGCATGCAAAGCAGTGGTGTTTGTTTATCCATGAAAAAAGCACGCCGGGAAAGTTTGCCTTACCAGGAAAAGGTGACGTATCTAGCTTATGACGTATGCATGCTAACTAATCAGGGGCGGATTTAGGGGGGGGGCGGCCCGGCCCCGCCCCCCCCCCTTTTTGGAAGGTAAAAAAAAAAGAGAAAAAAGAAAGAAAGAAAAAAAAATAAAAAATTGATCTAAAGAAAATTGATTTAAAGAAATCATTATTCTAATCTAACTTCTGATATTAAATTAATCAATTACCTTATACACATCTAGATGTGTATAAGAGACAGTTGTTGTCTCGATCGGCCCAAATTTCTGCCCCCCCCCCCTTTTTGGACATTTGTGGATCCGCCCCTGCTAATGTGCGTGTGACGTCACCAAAAAATGAATAATTTCTATTATAACCAAAATATTAATAACTACAAAGTTTCTGAGCGTAAATTCCCTTAATATGAATGAAAGGTTGCTCAATCTCCCTGCCATACAAATTACAGCTCCCACTGACGTCTCAGTAGAGAAATACGGGTAGCTGAAGTTTTTCTCGCAAATCTGACTACAAAACCATATCCAAATTTCACGTTCCACTTTTGACCCTGAGTTGTGCTTCGCACTCGCCGCTGAAAATAATGCATGTTGTGTGTATGCCTAGGAAATCCATTATCAGATGGGTTTGGTAAAACACGTCCTCGAAAGCTAATACGACTCATTTTGTCACTGGAGAAGCATAAATTACTTTCCTCCACTGCACGGGATAAACAGTCATACCCTACGAACAGCAGACGGGTTAAGTGAAGTGGCCAGGCCGACGCGGACCAATTTTATTCAAGCAAGGGGACCGGTATTAGCAGCTAAATCCAACCCGGAAGACCGATTTTAGTAGTCCGGCGGACCGATTTTGGCGGCCAAAATCTGTCCGCCGGACATTTTTTTGGCCCGTACCAATTTTGGCGTGACAGGTAGCCCTATTGTTTTAATCAGGGTTTTCCATTTTTCTATATACTATTAAGATTCGGGTATGCTGTAGGCCTAGATAGAAAATAGAAGTAGCTTATAGGTATTATATTTATTTTTATCAATAATAATGATAATAACGGACACCTTTGAGTCAGGAAGTTATTGTTATAGAATTGCACAGTGCCGTCAGAGTAAAACAATATCAAATTATATAATAATTTCCCAGGGGTGGGGAAGTGGGGCCGATCGAGATAACACTACCCTAGGGGGTCCTGGCATGCCTACGCGAAACTTATTTTCTAGACGCCCGATTATAACTTCTGAGGCGTTTTGGACGATGAATTATTTCTTTTTCTTTTTTTTCCCCTTTTTAAAAATTTTTTTCTAAAGGCCCCTCCCCCTTCTAAATCCACCCCTGCACAAAATGAAATAATTGTATAAACTTAGGCACGCATTATAAAATATAAGTTTATATTTATTGTCCAATAAAACAATGAATCTCGGAAAATAATTACAATAAAATTGATTCTAATAAAAGTAATTATAAAAGTAAAAATACGAAACAATATTACAATATAAAATCATTTTTAAAAAAGTGTATAGACCTATTATTAACATTGCCTTATTGATTTTAATATCTCAAATTGTAAATGAAAGGTAAGGCCAAGTAAAAAAAACAAGTAAAACATGTTTCACGTCCGGCTTTTTTTTTTAAATTGAGGAAAAGGCCTTTTTTATTTTTTATTTTTTATTTTTCAAAATGGCCGACATTCTACAGACTTGTTGACATTTCCCGTCTAGTTTTGTTCAACATATAAAAAGACATCACACAAGATTAGAAGCTGTATACTGTTTATTTGGCAAGAGTGTTATTGGGTATTATAAGCTTTTTTCTAACCTGTCTCTTATACACATCTAGATGTGTATCTGTATACAATGTTCCCGATGTTACGTCTCAGACGTCTTCACATGAAACTATTCCATACAATCTGTCATAGAGGGCCAGTATAACGGGAAATTCCAGAATTCATCGGAAATCATCGGCCGTATTCGATAGGGACTTTCCTGCTCTGCTAAACGGAAACTGCTCAACGAAGTTAACGCTCGGAATTTATCGTTGAGTTTTGTACTCAACGGGATAACATACTCAACGTATAGTCCCAATCGAATACGGCAATTGTATGCATGACAAACGCGCTCTAGTGAACTAGTGAAGTGAACTCGAGGTTTGCCGCCTGACGCCCAGAGTAGGCGACGGCCTAGGCCTAGCCTAGAGATATCGGGCTAGCCTAGGCCTAGCCTAGGTAGAGATATTGGGCTAGCCTAGGCATAGCTTTACTATACGAAAGGTTAGACGAAGATAT